AAAAAAAAAAAAAAAAAAAAAAAAAAAAAAAAAGAAAGCAACGAAAAAAGTAGGTGGGGGGGGGGGGGGGAAGAATTCTAGTAGAGAGGTTCTACTGTATTTTGTCCACTTGGGTGTGAGCAAATTACCTGATTTACAAATTCACAAGAAAGGTGATGTTGGTTCCATCTGTAACTGGTCTGACTTTTTTTGCTGCCTTTCTGTAATTTTTTTCTTTTCATAGAGAATATTAATTAAAAGTGCTGGGAAGGCTGGAAGCGATCTGAGTTCTAAACTAAGAAAGTGTGTGAAATTGGGGGGGAAAAGTTCCAGTTTTGGGACAAAACATTTCCACTGGCTTGTGTTAATTAGGACAACATTTAAAACATCTTGAGTGTTCTCCCATAAGGAATAATACAAATTTAAAACGTAACACAAGCAAACTTTATTACTAGTGTGACTAATGGGGAAAAAAAGAAAATGCAGCAAAATATCCATGTACATAGAGATAAATAGCTAAATTTAAGATAGCATAAAAATTACAGAATAAAACTTGTTGAACTGATCAATTAACTAAACCTATTTATAAAACATGTCTAGTCTATTTACAGTGTTACATCCTTGGTTGGGTGCACATAAGAATAAACAAGAAAAAGTAAAATGGAGGAAGTAAATAACCTTGTGGCATACAATATTAGAATGGGATGGAATGTAGAAATTTATCTTGCTAAACCTGCTGATGTTTTTTTTTAATCTGTAAGGCATTTAAAGTTTTGTATGGGTTCAGAGCAAAATCTCAACTTATGCTGCAATATTAGGGGAAAATTTTAAAAAGCATTTTACTTCCCTTATTTTTTATCCTGGGACCACAAAAAGGTAGGGTGATAATCCGTGCTGTTCTGCCTACTACCCATCTAGAGAAAAATCCACCAAAGAGATGTTTTTTATATCTGTCTGTCTATCTACAACAAACAGCTTAAATATAAGTTAAGCCCAGCTTTATTATTCCTCCTGAAAAAGGAAGCCTCAAGCCAGTCATCAGTGAAGTATATTTTTTACAGTTGTTACATTGCTCAAGGGCTTGTAGAAGTGAGTCTATTACTGTTGTTGCTTTGCTGGGCTCCTGATTTGGTTGTTCAGGCAGGCAGACTTCAAAAATCTTGCTTAATTGTTGCTCTGCTATTGCAATTAATGTTTTAATTACTTCGGTAATTTTTCCAGTAGGTAGTATTTGGTATGACTTACCATCCTATCTACTTGTGGCCCTAGTCAAAAACTGAGGGACAAGGGATTTGTTTCAAATTTATTTTACTCAGAATTGTAAAGCACTGTAAGCATAGATTGTCATCCTTTTTGAGGTAATACAGGTCAGGAAACAACAGAACAAAGATTTCAGGAATGCTAATTTACTGTTGTAAGGTATAATAATAACATCTTGAAAACCTGTCACATCCCTCTGCTCCTCTTACACCAAACAGAATGAAGGCTTGGTTACTATGAGTTCCTTCGCAAGCCTTCTAAATAATAATAGTAATAATAACAACAACAACAACCAGAGTTAACAATTGTTGATAAGAAAGACAAAAAAGTCTGGATAGTGGACATTGCAAT